ACGGGGTTTCACCATGTTGACCAGGATGGTCTCGATCTCTTGACCTCGTGATCCACCCGCCTCGGCCTCCCAAAGTGCTGGGATTACAGGCTTGAGCCACCGCGCCCGGCCCAGGTCGCTCTTCTAATGCTCACCCACACTCTGCGCCTCAGCCCTCTGCAGGGCCCCGCTCACTCCTCCCAGGGACTCAGAACTAGTCCACCCCTTCCCCAGGGGCGCAGAGTCCCGTGCTGGCACTCTCACTGCAACTGGTTGTGACCCTCTCCAGCAGCCCAGAAGCCTCCTGGTTGTTCTTATCTGGGGTCCCCTAACTTATCCTTCACTCCATCTGCTCCTGAGGTCTGAGACACCAGAGGGTGGGAGGAGCAGGGGCAGAAAGGGCCTGGCTTGGGGATGGGAGAAGAACGTATTGTCCCTCTATACAACAAACCCCTGTCACCCGCCCCCAAAAAAGAGAACATATTGTCCTATCTCACTATCCATCCTTTGGGGTCACCGTAGAGAGGTCCCCTGGGTGACTGCCCCTTTCTGGGGTGCAAGATACATGCATCCACAGAGGAATAGGCAGACACTGCCAGCACACAGATGCACAGGCACAGGACCAGCCCCCGGACTCACCTGGGCACTCAGCTGTGCAGCTCACGGTGTGGGGCTCCCACAGGCAAAAATACTGAGATATCTCGAGGGGGACACACGCACACACAGCTCAAGGACACCAGAGACAGCACTCAGGGCAAATTCAGATGCTCAGTGGACACACACACACACACACACACGCACAGACACACATATGTTTACATAGACCCTGGGGCTCACAGGATGCCCAGACAGCCCTGGCACTCCCCAAGAGGCTGCAGCGGGCAGACAGGGCAAACAGACCCCAACATGACCTGCCCCACCTATGTTGGCACAGTGGGAGTGTTTTCTTTGGTTATAAGCACAGTGCTTGGTGCCCGCCCTGTGCCTGGAACCCTCCCTCTAAAGGGCTGTTGCTAGGGCTCTGAGATACCAGAGAGTGACCAGGGAGGGTGGCAGGGGAACCTTTGAGGACAGCTTCAGGGTATGGTGTTGGGACTGGGACATTGTCACAGGTGCTCAGGGTAAGCTGTTCCCCAAGGCTTGGTGGATTTACAGGTCAAGGGACCGTTTCTGGAAGCTCACTGTGTGCCAGGGCAGCTTAATTCAGAGATCAGCGTTTTTTTTTTTTTTAGAGGGAGTCTTGCTGTGCCCCAGGCTGGAGTACACTGGTACAATCTCAGCTCACTGTAACTTCCACCTCCCGGGTTCAAGAGATGCTCCTGCTTCAGCCTCCCAAGTAGCTGGGACTACACCATGCCCGGCTAATTTTTTTTTTGAGACAGAGTCTTGTTCTGTCGCCCAGGCTGGAGTGCACTGCCATAGTCTCGGCTCACTGCAACTTCCACCTCCTGGGTTCAAGCAATTCTCTGCCACAGCCTCCCCAAGTAGCTGGGATTACAGGTGTGCACCACTACGCCTGGCTAAGTTTTGTATTTTTCGTAGAGATAGGGTTTTACCATCTTGCCAGACTAGTCGTGAACTCCTGACCTCACGTGATCCACCTGCCTCAGCCTCCCAAAGTGCTGGGATTACAGGTGGGTGCCACCACACCTGCTTAATTTTTGTATTTTTAGTAGAGACAGGAGTTTCGCCATTTTGGCCTGGCTGGTCTTGAACTGTTGACCTTAAGTGATCCACCTGCCTCAGCCTCTCAAAGTGCTGGGATTACAGATGTGAGCCACCGGGCTTGGGCAGAGATCTGCTCTGGAAGACGCCCCCAGGCTGAGGGCACTGCCACAAGCAGACAGTATGGAGAGGGTCCCTGTGGCCACCTGGCGGGCAACATGGATTCTGCAGGGAGGTGGTCTGGGAGGAGGGTGAGGATGGGGTGAGGGCATTTGAGCAGCAGAGTGTCTGTGTGAGCAGGCACAACTGGAGGGACAGTAAATGACTCTTGCTGTGTGGGAGTATGAGGGAGAGGTGGGAGGGGCTGATTACCCCCCAGTCTTGGAGGTCTTGGGGTGACTTGAGACCCCTGAGCTTTACCCAGACTCTTGGGAGCCACGGGATGTTTGAGATAGAGGTGTGGGCTGCTGGGAGAGTGAGGACTCATTATCCAGAGAGGAAGGCGAAGCTTTGAACTCCAAATGAGTTTTTACATTTTCTTCCTATTTGATTCATCTTCGTCCCTCCACATAAATATGCTACTTTTTCCACTGATAAAAAGACAAAATTGGCCCGGCACGGTGGCTCACACTTATAATCCCAGCACTTTGGAAGGCCGAGGCGGCCAGATTAGGAGGTCAGGAGTTCGAGACCAGCCTGGCCAATATGATGAAACCCCGTTTCTGCTAAAAAATACAAAAATTAGCCAGGCGTAGTGGTGCACGCCTGTAGTCCCAGCTACTCAGGAGGCTGAGGCGGGATAATTGCTTGAACCTGGAGGCGGAGGTTGCAGTGAGCCAAGACCCTGCCACTGCGCTTCAGTCTGGGCAACACAATGAGACTCCAAGTCAAAAGAAAAAAAAAGACAAAATTGAATTTAAATTTGGCCTAGGCTTCTCAAAAAAGTCAGTGTGATGAAAACATGATCAAACAGAAACGAGACTGGGCATGGTGGCTCATGCCTAGAATCCCAGCACCTTGGGAAGCCAAGGCAGGAGAATCATTTGAGGCCAGGAGTTTGTGACCAGCCTGGACAACATAGTGAGACCCCATTTCTATTAAAAGTTTAAAAATTAGCTGGGCATGATCGTGTATGCCTGTACATCTGGAGGCTGAGGCAGGAGGATCACTTGAGTCCAGGATTTGGAGGCTGCAGTGAGCTATGATTGTGCCACTGTACTCCAGTGTGGGTGACAGAGTGAGACAAAAAAAAAAAAAAAAAAAGACAAGATGATCAGGCTGAGAAGAGTAGCTCATGCCTATAATCCCAGCACTTTGGGAGGCCAAGGCAGGTGGATCATCTGAGGTCAGGAGTTCAAGACCATCCTGGCCAACAGGGGGAAACCCTATCTCTACTAAAAATACAAAAATTAGCCAGGCGTTGTGGCGTGGTGGTACCCACCTGAAATCCCAGCTACTCAGGAGGCTGAGGCAGGAGAATTGCTGGAATCCAGGAGGCAGAGGTTGCAGTGAGCAAGATCGTGCTGTTGCACTGCAGCCTAGACAAAAAGAGCGAAACGCCATCTCAAAAACAAAAACAGAAACAAAACAAAAGTAACAGCTGGGCTCTGGGGCTCATGCCTGTAATCCTAGCACTTTGGGAGGCCGAGGCAGGCGGATCAGCTGAGGTCAGGTGTTCAATATCAGCCTGGCCAACGTGGTGAAACCCAGTCTCTACTAAAAATACAAAAATTAGCTTGGTGTCATGGTGGGCGCCTGTAATCCCAGCTACTCAGGAGGCTGAGACAGGAGAATCACTTGAACCTGGGAGGCAGAGGCTGCAGTGAGCAGAGATTGCACCACTGTACTGTAGCCTGGGCAACAAGAGCAAGACTCCATCTCAGAAAAAAAAAAAAAAATCAAACACAATGCATCAAGCTCCTGGAGTTGTACAGACCAGATACCCAGGAAGCAGGCAGGCCTGGTGTGAGTTTCTGCTCTATTGCTGGTGCCACTCAGCTCTGGCAACCCAAAAGGGGACCTCCCCCTGCTGTTACTGTGTGAGGAGGAAGGAGCGCTGGTTTGCAGGTCAGAAGCCTGGGTGGGAGCCTCTGCTCAGGTTCCTGCTGCCTGTAGGAATGTGGGAGTCGCCCTTCCTGGCTGGTCTCCTTTCCCACCTGTCCAATGCAGGGGTTCCAGTCACATGCGCTGGGCACCATTACATGTCCAAGCTGTGCCAGGATCTAGAAAAATGGCTGGGCTCAGGCCAACGGTCCTTCCTGTCTGGGCAGTGAAAATAAAAGGAGACTCCAAGGGCCCTCAGCCTGAGTCTGGAGGGCAAGTCATGGGCACAGGGCAGTCCCAGGGCTCGGGACGCTACCACAGAGGAGCCCACCTTGGTGGCAGACAACTGTAGGCGCATCCCTGACGCCCAGTGCCCAACACAGCCAACTGGACAAACATTTCATGCGAAACTCTTTTTTTTCTTCATGGCTACCCTGAGGGCATCGATTATAACAGTTACACTTTTTTTTCTTTTTTTTGAGTCTGGCTCTGTCATCCAAGCTGGAGTGCAGTGGCGCAATCTTGGCTCACTGCAAACTCCGCCTCCCAGATTCAGGTGACTCTCCTGCCTCAGCCTCCCGAGTAGCTGGAATTACAGGCGTGCGCTACTATGCTCAGCTAATTCTTGTATTTTTACTGGAGATGGAGTTTCACAATGTTGGCCATGCTGGTCTTGAACTTTTGATCTCAGGTGATCTGCCTGCCTTGGCCTCCCAAAGTGCTGGGATTACAGGCATGAGCCACCTCGCCCAGCTGGATTATAACAGCCTTTTTACCTGCCAGGGGCTTTATACTCATTATCTCATTTCTTTTTTTCTTCTTCTGTTTTTCTTTTTTTCAAGATGGAGTTTCACTCTTATAGTCCAGGCTGGCATTATCTTGGCTCACTGCAACCTCCACCTCCTGGGTTCAAGCCATTTTCCTGCCTCAGCCTCCTGAGTAACTGGGATTATAGGTGCCCGACCCCACACCCAGCTAATTTTTTGCATTTTTAGTAGAGAGGGGTTTCATCATGTTGGCCAGGCTGGTCTCAAACTCCCGACCTCAGGTGATCCACCCGCCTCGGCCTCCCAAAGCGCTGGGATTACAGGCGTGCACCACTGCGCCTGGCCCATTATCTCATTTCATTTTATGAGTTGAAGTGCGCTTATCCTCCATTTCACAGATGAGGAAACCAAGGCCCAGAGAGGTTAGGAATTTGTCCAAGATCACACAGCTAGGAAGTAGGATTGAAACCCAGAAAGCCAGGCTGTAACATCTAGGCTCTTGTCAGGCTAATGCCCTTCCCCGGGGTCTGGGAAGCCCTGACCTGCAGCCTCTCACCTTTGTTTACCCCTCAGCCTCCAGGAAGTCACATGTGCACCGGCGTGGGATCCTGGAACTGGCAGGAACTGTGGGTTGTGTTGGCTCCCGAACCCCCCTGGCCTATATGAAATACGGTTGCTATTGTGGCCTGGGAGGCCGTGGCCAGCCCCGCGATGCCATTGACTGGTAAGTGCATGTCTGGACCCAGGCTACAAAATCCCCTATTCTGGGGTAGTCAAGGCTTATGAGAAAATACCCAAAACTGAAGCTGGGATTTGGTCCAGGGGGATCCCAGCATGTGGTTCTACTTTGCAGGCAGGCAGAGGCCTCTTGGATAACATGGCCAGTGAGGCCAGATCTTGGCATCAGCTGTTCCTTACCCTGGCCATGGGCTGATTACACTGCCCTAAAAAATTGGCCAGGAGCGGGTGGCTCATCCCTGCAATTCCAGCATTTTGGAAAGCTGAAGCAGGCAGATCACTTGAGGTCAGGAGTTCGAGACCAGCCTGGCCAACATGGTGAAACCCCATCTCTACTAAAAATGCAAAACTTAGGTTTGTGAGGTGGTGGGCGCCTATAATTCCAGCTATTTGGGAGACTGAGGCAGGAGAATTGCTTGAACCTCGGAGGTGGAGTTTGCAGTGAGCCGAGATCGAACAACTGTCTTCCAGCCTGGGCGACAGTGGGAGACCCTGTCTTAAAATAAAATAATAATAATAGTATAAAGTGACCAGGTGTGGTGACTCACAACTGTAATCCCACCACTTTGGGACATCGAGGCAGGATGATCAACATAGTGAGACCCTGTCTCTATATTACACACACACACACACACACACGCGACCAGACTAATTATGCACTAGGAACTGCTCTGGGAATCCCTTTGAGTCCTCATAACAATCCCATTTCACAGCTGAAGAAACCAAGGCAAAGAAATATTAAGTAACTTGGCCAGGTGCAGTGGCTTACGCCTATAATCGCAGCACTTTGGGAGGTTGAGGTGGGCAGTTCATGAGGTCAGGAGTTCGAGACCAGCCAGGCCAACATGGCAAAACCTTCGTCTCTAGTAAAAATACAAAAATTAGCCAGGCGTGGTGGCAGACACCTGTAATCCCAGCTACTTGGGAGGCTGAGGCAGGAGAACTGCTTGAACCAGGGAAGTGGAGGTTGCCGTGAGCCAAGTTTGCGCCACTGCACTGCAGCCTGGATGACAGAGCAAGACTCGGGCGGGAAGAAAAAAGAAAGAAAGAAATATTAAGTAACTTGTCTGGGGCCACAGAGTTAGCAAGGTGTGGGAGCTGGGATTTGAACCCAGGCAGTCTGGCTGGATTCATGCCCACAGCCTGTGCACTCTGGCTACTGTGTGAGAAGCGCCTGCTCTGTCCAAGGTTGTGGGCAGCGATCTCTCCGTGACTTCCCCTCATTTGCCCCCTGGGCTGCTCTTAAAGATGGGCATGACAGTTAAACGCCCATTTTACAGGTGGGGCCCTGAAGCTCAGAAGGGCACAGCCACTCACCCATTACCACAAAGCTGCAGTTGGTTAGCAGAGGGTGGAATTCAGCCGCCTCTCTCCTAGCTTGAAGGCTGCGATTGACACAGAGGTCTTTTTTGTTGTTTGTTTCTTTTCTTATTTATTAACTTTTTTTTTTTTAGCAGGATGTTTAGACACATTTATTTATTTGTTTGTTTATTTTTTAGATGGAGTCTTGCTCTGTCGCCGGGCTGGAGTGCAGTGGTGCAATCTCGGGTCACTGCAACCTCCGCCTTCCGGATTCAAGCAACTCTCCTGCCTCAGCCTCCCCAGTAGCTGGGATTACAGGCGTATGCCACCATGCCTGGTTAATTTTTATATTTTTTGGTAGAGACAGGTTTTCACCATGTTGACCATGCTGGCCTTGATCTCTTGACCTCATGATCTGCCAGCCTTGGCCTCCCAAAGTGCTGGGATTACAGGCATGAGCCACCAGACCCGACCTGGGGAGCTAATTTTTAAATTTGTTACAGAGACAAGAGTCTCCTTATTTTGCCCGGGCTGGTCTCGAACCCCTGGCCTTAAGTGATCCTCCAACCTCAGCCTCTCAAAGTGCTGGGATTACAGGTGGGAGCCACCGCACCCTACTGCTAAGGAGGGTTTCGTTATATACCTGCCCAGAAGGGAGGGAATCTGATTTGATGAGAGGGTGTAGCCTGGTGAGGCTGGATGACCTACAGCGGCAGGGGCTTGTGCTGGGCTGAGACCTAAGGCACAAAGAACAGACACGGAGTTACCCCAGGCAGAGGGTACAGTGTGGGCAAAGTCAAGAAGTGGCAGGGCTTGGGACCAGGCTTGGGCACAGCCAGGGAGGCAGAATAGAGCATGGTGAGGCCAATGAAATCATTATCCAGGATGGGGATTTTCAGGGAAACAGCTTAGACAAGGCCAGGCATACAGTGCCTCCTACCTGTAACCCCAGCACTTTGGGAGGCTGAGGTAGAAGGACTGCTTGGGCTTGGGAGTTCAAGACCAGCCTGGGCAACGTAGTGAGACCTCGTATCTAGAAAAATTTTTTGAAAAAGGAGTTTGTGTTCCTGTAGTGGCAACTACTTGGGAGGCTAAGGCAACAGTATCGCTTGAGCCCAGGAGTTCAAGGCTAAAGTGAGCTATGATTGAGCCACTGCACTCCAGCCTGAGTGACAGAGAGAGACCCTACCTCAAAGGGAATACAAATTTAAAAACTAGCCGGGCATGGTGGCGTGTGCCTGTAGTGTCAGCTACTTGAAACCTTGAGGTGGGAGAATCACTTGAGCCCAGGAGTTCAAGGCTGCAGTGAGCTATGATTGTGTCACTGCACTCCAGCCTGGGTGACAGAGCAAGACCCTGTCTTAAAAAAAAATAATAAAAAGAAAGAAAGAAAGAAAGAAAGCTTAGAGGCCAGGTGCAGTGGCTCACACCTGTAATCCCAGCAGTTTGGGAGGCCAAGGTGAGCGGATCATGAGGTCAGGAGTTCAAGACCAGCCTGGCCAACATAATGAAACCCCATCTCTACTAAAAATAGAAAAAAAAATTAGCCGCATCTGGTGGTAGTCGCCTGTAATCTCAGCTACTCAGGAGGCTGAGGCAGGAGAATTACTTGAACCCGGGAGACAGAGGTTGCAGTGAGCAAAGATTGCACCACTGCACTCCAGCCTGGGCAACAGTGCAAGACTCTGTCTCAAAAAAGAAAAAAAAAAGCTAAGATCAGAGGATGTGTGCCTCCCTGAGGGGTCTTCAGTCACCTATGGTCCTGGCAAGGGAGGAGGGCCAGGAGAGCTTCACCCATCTGCTGCCCTGCCCATGTGACATCTGCAGGTGCTGCCATCACCACGACTGTTGCTATACTCGAGCTGAGGAGGCCGGCTGCAGCCCCAAGACACAGCGCTACTCCTGGCAGTGCGTCAATCAGACTGTCGTGTGCGGTGAGTCCCCAGCACCACCATGCCACCCACCCCTAGTGTCCACTGGGCACCCTGGCACAGCCTGATGACTTCCGTGCCCTTGTTGCAATAAGCACTGCTTCCAGCTCTGTGTGGACCACCCTTGGGTATATCTAATTAAGTGATATTTATTTTGTTTTATTTGTTTTGAGATGGAGTTTCGCTCTTGTTGGCCAGGCTGGAATGCAATGGCATAATCTTAGCTCACCACAATCCTCCACCTTCCAGGTTCAAGCAAATCTCCTGCCTCAGCCTCCTGAGTAGTTGGGATTACAGGCATGCGACACCATGCCTGGCTTATTTTGTATTTTTAGTAGAGAAGGGGTTTCTCCATGTTGGTCAGGCTGGTCTCGAACTCCCGATCTCAGGTGACCTGGCAGCCTTGGCCTCCCAAAGTGCTGAGATTACAGGTGCAAGCCACCATGCCCCGCCTATTTTATTTTATTTTACTTTTTGAGTCAGTCTAGTTCTGTCACCCAGGCTAGAGTGCAGTGGTGTGACATTGGCTCACTACAACCTCTGCCTCCCGGGTTCAAGTGATTCTTGTGAATCAGCCTTCCGAGTGGCTGGGACTACAGGCGTGCACCACTACAGCTGGCTAATTTGTGTGTGTGTGTGTGTGTGTGTGTGTGTGTGTGTGTGTATGTGTGTGTGTGTGTTTTTAGTAGAGATGGAGTTTCGAGATGTTGGCCAGGCTGGTCTCTAACTCCTGACCACAGGTAATCCCCCCACCTCAGCCTCCCAAAGTACTGGGATTACAGACATGAGCCACTGCACCTGACCTAATTTTTGTACTTTTTTCAGTAGATATGGGGTTTCATCATGTTGGCCAGGCTGGTCTCAAACTCCCTGCCTCAAGTGATCTGCTCGCCTCAGCTTCCCAAAGTGCTGGGATTAGAGGTGTGAGCCATAGTGTCTAGCCTTAATGTGGGTGAGGTTTAACACTGAGTACTTGAAAAAGAAAACCCTGAAGAAACCTATTTGTTTGATGTCTGGACAACAAGGAAGATAGACATGACATCAGATAATAACCAACCTAAATGTTTATCAGAAGGGGGCTGGGGGCAGGACCAGTAGGAGGATCACTTGAGGCCAGAAATGCATCTTTACAAAAACCTTAAAGAATTTTTTTTTTTTTTTTGAGACAGTCTCGCTCTGTCGCCCAGGTTGGAGTGCAGTGGTGCCATTTCAGTTCACTGCAACCTCCACCTCCTGGGTTTAAGCAATTCTCCTGCCTCAGCCTCCCAAGTAGTTGGGATTACAGGCACCTGCCACCAGGCCTGGCTAATTTTTTTTATTTTTAGTATAGACGGAGTTTCACCATGTTGGCTAGGCTGGTCTCAAACTCCTGACCTCAGGTGAGCCACCTGCCTTGGCCTCCCAAAGTGCTGGGATTGCAGGTGTGAGCCACCACGCCCGGTGGTCGTATTTATTTTTAAGATTCCATTTTGGGCCTGTCTCAGCCTCCTGAGTAGCACAGGTGCACACCGCCATGCCTGGCTAGTTTTTTTTATTTTAGTAGAGATGGGGTTTCACCATGTTGCCCAGGCTAGTCTTAAACTCCTGAGCTCAGGTAACCCACCTGCCTCGGCCTCTCAAACTGCTAGGATTACAGGCATGAGCTACTGTGCCTGGCCTTTTT